TCCCCCCCCCCGAGATTTGTACAATAAACATTCCTCAAATTTCGTCATGTAAGATTTCTTTGCTTTACAGTAGATAATAATAAAAAAGAAAGTTAATAAACACATTTATACATTTAAGAGGTAAAGAATGGAAGTAGTGTCATTTTTAAGGAGGATTAGTGGATCCACTGGTTGATGAATCTGTATATTCGTAGTCAACTAATCCGCCCCCATTTTCCAGAGTGATATCTGAATGGGGATAACCGGTTTGAGCATCTTCGTCCAAGTTCGCTTGTTGGGGATTGAATGCTTCCACGGAGACAGGTGAGTTGCTCGTTTCGAAAGTCGGTAGAGTAAGGATAGGGTCTGGCTGGATGGAAGCGTTGTCACAAGGGAGTATCGATGGAATTGAGGACTGGACGGAATTCTGCTCCTCTAAAGAACTTTCAACACTGAGTTGGTTAGCTGCTGGATTCTCGTCGTCTGAAGAATAGACTGTATTCATTTCAGAATGGTCTTTAGAATGACCTTCTTCAGAAGAAACTAGTGAAGGTTCTAAGTTCTGAGATTCAGGAACTACAAATGATTCAGGCGGCTCAACTGAATAAGTATCTATATTTATTTGGCTTTGTGGTATAGGAAGAGGTTCCTGCAATTTGGAACTAGGACCTTTTCCAGCACCAACCATAGATATAAAATCTTCCATGTTTTGAAAGGCAGCAGGTTCTTGTATGCTGGGAATCGGCTCAGATTCAACAGCAGTGTTCAGCGGGGAAGAGTCCGATGTTTCTTTAGGCAATTTCTCATCAACTTCCATGGAAACGACATCGGAAATGACGTTCGGACTCTTCAGCACTTCGAAAGATTCCTGTTTGTCATTCCTAACGGTAGAGTCGACAGGTTCGCATAGATCGAGAGCAGTACCTTGTTCACCCACCGTTGCTATTGGATCATTTTCAGATGATTCATCATCGACTTCGGAAGGATTGCTAACAGCATGAAGCGTCATAGACGATTGTGTATAGCTAACAGTAGGGACCATGTCGTTGGAATAAGTCAGACACTCAGAAGCATCTATGAGTTTTTCTAACTGGAGATGGACTGTTGAAGGCTCGTCCATAGCTATTATATTGGTTTTGTTTTCTGGCGGTGAACCCCCAAGTATTTGTGGGCTGCGATTAGAAGTCAAACTGCTGTCCGTTAAAATAGGGCTCGCCTCAGTAGATTCTTGGTCGAGTTCCTTACGAACTTCGGAGAGATGTTCAATGGAAGTTGGCTCACCTTTGCCTTTCGCTGGTTCAATGTCCTGGGGTTCCTGTTTATATTCTTTGTTTTCAGAGCTGAAATCGGGGTGCATTTCTACATCACCCGAGGCTTCTTGATTGAATACTTGAGGCACGGTTGGCTGGAAAATACTTTCCTGGACATCATAATTAGGCTCAAATTCACTTACACCCATTTTCGGAGAACTGGATTCATTTTCAGCAGTAGGTTTAGTTGTGACAGTATCTGGAAATCTCCCTTGCTGAAAACCCCCCTTATACAATAATCCAGCACATTTAGATTTATCTGCGACTTCTTTTTGTTGAAGTTCTGGAGATCCGATTTCATGACCTTCTACTTGAATTCCAGCAGTAGTAGGCTCAACTTCTAAAACTTCCAAACCTTCTTCTGAAGTACGCCCATGCAGCGACTTCTGCTGGGTTACCTCTTGAGAGTTTTCTGCATTTTCTTCCATTACGGGAAGGTCATAAAGAATTGCGGTTTCGATAGATTTCTGGTCAACGTCTTCAGACTCTAACACATTTTTTGGAATAGCATCCACATCTTTGCTCAGAGCAAATCCGTCAGAACAAAGATGAGGAGCAGGTGTTTCTGAAGAAACTTTCAACTCTGCAGGCTCTTTAGCAACATTCAACGTTGGAATAAATTCAGACTGGTAAATCTGTGGGTCTGGTGGAATATTCTGAGGTTCTACGAAACTTTCAACTACTGGGACAGCCTGATTGTCCTGTATTACAATGGAGTCAGAGACAGGTCCCCCAGAAGTAGATTGAATCAAGTTAGTAAGAAATGGCTGCTGACTCTCTGAAAGCACACTTATTTCCTTCTTATCGTTTTCATCGGCTTGATCTTGAGTACAAGAGGATTCAAGGCGTTCATGTGTATTTACTTCAAATTTTAGTTGTGTATTTGCAGTAGTTTCCAATGGATCAATATTTGCGTTAGGCACCTCAATATTAATCTGGGACTCTAACGCTTCTAAGTGGGGCGAATTAACCGTCACATCAGGGTTGAATGAAGATACATCCGCTTTTGACGAGTCTTCAACAGCTGTTTCAGATAGACAAGGCTGAGTTGTTCCTGTTTGGACAGGTTCTGAAATATTCGAAAGATCGATGTGCTTTTCTATGACAGGAAGATCTTGTGCTTCATGGAGTGGTACTGAAGCAGGTTTTGGGACTCCAGGAACACTGGGAATATCCATTTTTTGAGCTGTACTTGAGTGGCAGATTTGAGTATCTATTGTTTGAAGGGATTCTAAGGGGGCTGACATTGGATCACTCAGTGGTTCTGCAGCTCTCATCGTTGTTTCCTGAACTGGCAATGAGTTTGCTTCCATATTCTGAGCTAATTCGGACTGCTGCATCAGGGTATATCCAATTTGGAGAGAAGCTGGGGGATACACCTGAGCACCGGATGCCAATACAGGGACATACTTCGGTTCTCCTGCCTGGCCAATAGGAGGCATTGGTGAGGTTACGGGCGTCCCCCCTCCGCACGCCATTGCTTGAACATTCTGGGGTATTGCTGAGGTGGTAGGCACCCCTGGACTATGTTGGATCGGACTAGTAGGAAGAGGCATGTAGTTCTGTTGAATTGGACTGATAGCCGCGGTCAGTGCTGAGATCTGAGCCAGTTCATTCACCGTTGCAACATCCGGTAAAACCGGTTGATTCCTGTCCGCAGGCGTAACAATTGCAGCATTCAGGGCTTCAGTCAAAATATCGAAAGATTCCTCCTCCTCTTCTTCTTCCTCCTTTCCGTCTTTTCCACCTTCTTCAGCTTGTTCATCTGAAGCTGTCTCTTCCTCGGTGGAATTATTGTGAGGTTGGAAGGCGGTCATCTGTTTGTCCGTTGTGTTAGTTGTCAAGGTATTTGAGGGGAGTTTTGCTATTGACATTTGACCTCCACCGCCAACTGTATCACTTCCACTCACGGATTCTTCCTCATTTAGGGCTTGCAAGTCGTTGGCAGATAACTGGACTGACGAGGTGGTGGTGGTGCTTGTAGTCTTGAAAATAAGAACATATTTAAGAAATTCAATAGAAACTAAATATGTGGTTCTATTGCAAGTATTGGCTGTGTAATAAGCCATCAACGAAACCGATGATGTATAGTCGTGTGTGACAGATCTTGAAACCTGAAATGGGCGACATTTTAACTCTTAATGGCTCTGTGGACGCCTCAATTGGCAATGTGTCATGATCAAAAATCAGTTTGATTTGGAGATAAAGAGGAAATAAGTTATCAAACACGACACCTCTATCTGCTAAAATTTGTTTAGCCTTCTCGTCAGGCCCTAGGGGCAAGTCCAAGGGTGAGGGTGGATTAGAAGATCCGCTTGACGCAAAGCATCAGGATTAAAATATCTAAAACAGATGTTCCCTCAAAAAAGAAGGAAATATTAAGCATTGATTAGACTCTTGAATGGTCAGGGCAAACACATTGGTTGAATGAAAATTGACATTTGCGAGTCAAAGTGAACGATTAGCGAATTCATAAGTTTGAAGTGAAATCGTTAGGCACAACAGGTATGGCAAAAATAGCAGGACAAATGAGGATTCACAATTGCTTACCGACACTTGGAGCGTTGGATCGGCAGCACCTTCAGCACTCCCCTCCTCAAAAGTTGCCTTGAATTCTTCCACAATGGAGGGGTCAATCTGAAAGGAAGTTGCCAAGTGACAATTTTGAAGATTAAAAGAGACTCAATCCCCCGGTGAGTGCTGTGCTAACGGAGCGTTTTCAATTATGGGGAGAATAGCTTCTAATCAGAAACACCAAGTATCTTACTCTATGAGGAAATAGCTTCCTTCCACACTACTGAAATCGGCAATTAGGCAAGTTATTTTTTGAGCAACTATTAAGCGTGATTATTCGCGAAATCATGGACCACGATTTTGATGTCTATCGGTGCACACACCCAATGAGAGAGAGAGAGAGGTATGATTGGAAGTTTTCCCTTCGACCTAATGAGTGTAGGGAAAAGCTTTAACAAGAGAGGACTTGGGAGTTAACTAGACCAATCAAAAGGAAAACACGCGCGGACTGAGAATCCAGCAGTCTATCATCTTCCAAATGCTCCAGGTCGGTAGAGATGAAGTTGTTATGTAGAGACATTCACAGTCACCAGCCCACACACGCACACACACACAGCAGAAGAATAATTGGGGGGGGGGGGGGGGGGGGGGGGGGGGGAAAAAAAANGGGGGGGGGGGAGGGGGGGGTGGAGAGGGAGAAAAAAGACTAACTGTGAGATTGGCCCTCCTCATCCAATTAGAGGCGTGGTAGGGTGATTTTGGGTCAGCGAAGGAGATGAGCATTTGAGCATGGTAGCCATCAGTAGCATCGGCGAGTCGAAGGTGCGCAACACGTCGGGCTTCTAAACCGATGGGTTCCACAAATTTGAGGAGGGAGAGAACACTCTCCACAATCGTCAAGTCACTAGCACCTCCGTAGGCGTCTATCATCTGCGCCAGCTCCTCCTTCCTATTTTGGGTAGAGAAAATTGGCGGCTCAAAATGAGAGATACTGCGAATGTGCACATGGGGAGAATATTTTTTTAAATTAATTGCTGAATGAACGATAATATGAGTACACAAAAGGTAGAAAAGAAAATGAACTAGGATTACGAAAGTGGGAAGAGGCCATCAATTTGAGAAAAGCACTACCACCCCCCTCCCCCCGCCGCAATGGGATTCATGTTGGTAAGCGTGTTGGCAGGTGCCCCTCGCAGTGGGATGCTGAAGGAGCCAACAGTGGCCAATCACGTGACTTGAAAACTAGTGGAATTTTCTCCACTGAAAAAAAGGCTTCAGACCCTCATCTCAGATAAATATCAAGAAGTTCTCATTATAAGCCATCCGAACTATGCTCCAAACGGATATACCTTCAAAAGAATGATTTGGGGGTAATAATAAATCTACTCTCATAAGAAGGATATAATTGAGGTAAAAGATCGTAGAATAAACTGTAAGAATAAAACAAGTCGCAAATGCCACGACATTTGGCTAGCAACTTAAAATGATCCGGATTTGTAAAAAAACACATGAAACCCTAACCTTTCACATGACGCGTAATTAGCGCACTTTGCTTGAGAAGTCTAAACGATCACCCCTCACAAATAATAATAGAAGCATAGAACGAAAAATTCAAAATGGAACATAAAATCAAACACGAAAGCAAATTCAATTATCTGATTAGCCAAGTTGCCACGCACAGATTACCAAGAGAGAAACTTCAGGCAAAACTTTAATATCTCACACACACTTATAAGTAGTTTATAAGTAGTGCTATTGTTAGATTTTAAGAACTCTCCTGGTAACCTCTATGATGGTTTTATTAGTAGTGGGTGGAAAATGCCGCTCAAATTTTAGACTTAAATTACAACAGCATGAGAACGAAAACTTGAACCCCCCCCCCCAAAAAAAGATACCAATATAATCAGGGCATTATTTTAACTGAGAAAAGCACTTACTCAAAGATAGCCAGAGGTCCATGAATGCCCATAGCAATAGGCTCCGAAGGATCGTATTTCAACTTTGAAAGAGCATGGAGAGTGGCGACTTGCTGAGAGGTCATCTGCTCAATCAGCCCGTGATATCCTGACACTCCACCACTTGCCTGGGCCTTTGGAGTGAGGAGTTGTCGCATTGCCAGCGGATAGTTGACCACTTTTCGACCCTCCTCCCATCCTCCTTCAAGAGGGCTCGAGCAACTTGGATCACGGTTGCCATGGCCGTCAATGCAGTGCTTCGCGTAGACCTTTCCTGTTTCACTCGTCTGAAAGGGGAGAGGGGGGGGGGTATCGTGAGAAACTGGAGTCACTCGGAACTCATACTACTTTCATAAGAAGGAAAATGAACAGGGCAATGCAACAAAAACACCATTGGGTAACAAAAAGAATCAGGAAGAGGGAACACCCTGCCAAGTTAGAGTTCAAAAGATAAATACTCGTTGATGCTCATCTCATGATAGAAATGAGCAAGGGTGAAAAGAGGTGTAGAATAAAGCGAACTTCTTTTCTAGACAACCCGTAGGAATTACACTATTCTGGCCTTTTCAAGTCGTCCACTCGCAGGAGATGGGCAAATACGCCAGAACTGCATAAGGAATGTTGGGAACTTTAAAATCAAAGTAAAGGGTAATAAGGAATCACTCAATGGTGACGTCTACTTTTCGAACTAATAATAATAATAATAATAATAACTAACAAAGGAGTGGAACCAAAGTACACACACACATCAAATTAGCAGTAGGAGGTCAGACTTACATCGAGATAGACAACAGTCTGTCGACCAGGTTGTCCATACTTCGCCAAATACTTCGCCCTCGCATTTTGAGCTGCTTTCTTCACTTGAGCAATTACTTGATCTGGGGGTGTACGGTCGGTCATGGTGTCAGTGAAGGTCCACGCATCTTCAGCGTACGTTCTCTGCTCAACAGCTGCAGCAGCAGTTGCTGCAGGCCTCCGACGTGATTTTGTGGAGGCGGTGCACGACTGACGAGGATTGGGTGCAACGCAATTGGTTGTGGTCGAGGAACGACGACTGGCGAGATTTCTCGACGGCCTGCGGGAACTAAACACAAGTAAAATTGACCCTGCTTACAACAATAAATTGAAGTCAAATCAAATGCCGAGTAATAGACTTTTTTGCCGTACGAAGATACGTCGTCTAGGGTGCACCACGTGGAGGTAAGTCTATCGCGGACTCACAGTCAGCAATAAACTCAATTGGAAGCAGAGAGCCACCCAAAACAGCTGAGATAAAGGAATGTAGAAAACTCTGTGAGATGCTGAGAGAGAAGAACAAAACAGTGGTCCTACAATGGACTCCTGGTCACTGTGGCATTATAGACAATGCGTTTGCTGACGCACTTGCTAAGAAGGGGACAACGATTTTGCAATGCATGGACCGCCCGATGTTTTTCCACACAATGAAGGCCTTAATCAGAAGAGAATTCCAGACCTCAAGGTGCAACGAACTTAAAGCTCGAACAAAGGAGAAACAGTGGACATAGGCACTCTCCCACATAGCTGACTGGCCGAGAATCGAAGCCGTTGCTGAGGTTAGACTACGTACCGGACACGATTGCTTGGCAAAACACCTTCACAGATTGAGAGTATACACTCAACCCACATGCCCTCTATGTGACCTACAGGAGGAAATGGTGAGGACCCACCTGATTCGATGTCCAGCTCTAAAGACAACGACGGAAAGCCAGAGATACTGGGAAGCAAGAAGACGGCTAATGAACTGCTATTAATTAACTGCTATATATGTACCCCCCACCCTTGGGGGAAGCTGAAGTCAAAGTTTAATGGCCAGTGATAAATATCACAAAGCCTGCCATTTGAAATAATAATAACTTTGCTTACAACAACAAGGGTTAAGAATATGAACAAAATAAATAACCAGCTGATTGAAAAAAATTATACCCGAATGCCTTTTCAAACCAAAGCTTCTTTTTGCAATCAAATGAAAAGAGATGAAATCTTAACAAAAGTGTGTTCGTTCCGAGTCTATGGATAGGAAAAGTTACAGGCGTAGAAGCTTCAATTAAAACAAACGTCAGTAGACAATTTCTGAGAAAAAAATTTTATGAATAACTGAGCCACCTTAGTGCTCAATGGATGGATGCCAAAAGTCGACAATCATGACAATTACCTCCGGTTAGCTGAAGATGAAATTGTGGAGGAAGACCCAGGAGAAGCCCCAAAAGAATAATCCATTAGATCGCCTTCTGTATTCTCCAGATCAATGGCTACCACATCTAGGAAACAAAAGAGGTTGGTGGGGGGGAAAATTCAACTTACCACTACGACCACAGGTTGATTGAGTCTAAAGAGAGAGGGGGGGGGGTAAGAGAGAGAGTAGATAATCAGTTCACATTCTAAATACACCAAATCATCGCTCACACAATTTGATGTCTAAAGCCTCAACCACACAACGTCCTTTGCTCCCTTGAACATAAAATTTGTCCCTGCATTGCACGTAGACAACTGAGCTGACATTCCACCTCTAAAGTTTTTGCAATTGTCTCTAGGACTTGCAATTTCGAACGCTACAAGTCAAGACCTGCTCTCCATCGATATTTCGCACATGGGGTGTGCAGGATTTAAATGGCTCACATGGATTTTTTTGTTTAAAAAACTCGCATTCTTCAGAGACCGTTCTGTTAAAAACTATTAATTAGGAACATAACGCAAAAAAACCTTCGAAGAGATTCCAAAGAATTTCAACTCGAAAGTGTTCTACCTCTTTAATGAGAAACACGCATTCCACAACCAGCCTAGCTAAAACTGGCTATAACCAAGACGTTCACTAGTTGTGGACTGATAAGCAATGCACACTAAAACCGAGAAATCACGACCACGTTAAAGAATTTATAATCCGCACCGAGGAACTGGGACGAAAGCGTGGGCTATCAATTCGTCCTACAAATGAGTCATCCACTTCGGGGATCAAGTGAGGAGGACTATTGGCGTAGCGCGGTACTTTTGTCGCAGAAACTGATGACATGGAAGCGTTCGAAGACCGGCGTTTGCGGTGCTGAGAGGAATAAGACGATGAGGGGGTGCCATCGAGTTCTTCACGCTCAACTGACCGTGGTGCATAATCCTCCACCTCTTCGGCTTTCTCGCCTACCTCTTCCTTGAATTTTGACACGGTGGAGGATCTGGAACTAGGATGAAGACGAAATGGGAAACAAAAAAGGCCATTAGAGCAATATCTCAATTGTCTGGATAAGCACTCTCCCAATCGTAAATCAAGTCCAATATGCCTATTGTAACCATTGACTATGGACCAGAATTCTCACAACTATTAAAATTTACTCACAAAGTATTTTAGACCACATCGCTATGAAATCAGAGGCCATAGGAGCACCCAGCAGAGTGTACGCAGAATAACCAACCACACAAGGGAAGCTTCCAAGAGAAGATTTCCCAAAAATACACCTCATCGTTGAAGTGTTTAATAAGAGGATCTAAGGTGAGAATATTTTGAAATTAGCATTAAGGCATGTTGGGATACGTCATCGCATGTCTGCTCGCCAGGATTGGGAGGTGCGGCCGTACAAACAGTGACCAATCCTTAACATCTGTTTGTTTAACCTAACCCCCATCCTGATCATGAGTAGATCCCTGCGTGTACACACTTGATCCGCAATATACGTACTGAATAAACGTGCACCGTGCTACGCGTCTGTTTCCTTCATAGCTGGGCTATAACTCCGTGCTACTCGTCTGTTTCCTTTATAGCTGGGCTATGGTTTAGCTGGTTCTGGGAGTCTAGCTAGATGTAGGAGAATCTCCCTGGTTCTGGGAGTCTAGCTAGACGTTGGAGAATCTGCCGTTCTGGGAGTCTAGCTAGATGTAGGAGAATCTGCCACAGATATCTGGGAGTCTAGCTAGATGTAGGAGAATCTGCCATAGAGTCGGTCAGGCTTTACTAGTGTAGCAATCCGCTACAATCAAGAAACGCAGAATTTTAATTATTTGTATTACATCTTCAAAGTCCATAACTTTGATAAGAAATTTCGGAATCATAATCAAAAGACCTAAAGCATAGTTATGGAAACTCGAAATCTATGAATGCATCAAACACTCCATTCAAAGTCTAAATCGACGTGCTTCATATTGTCACCCACCAAACAAGATAAGTGATGGAAAACCATTTCCTAAATGCACACAGAAATTATTAGTTAACACTTTATCAACCTTTTCTCAATTTGGCAAATTTTTCAAAATATCTATTCGTATGTGTCTAAGGTATAAAGAAATAACTTTGGTACAATACTAGAGCAGAGCGATTTGACAAAAGTGCAAACATTAAAAGTAATTTCCAAATAATCGAACATTCCGAAAATTATTCAGTATATCAGCCAACTCTTAATATAAGTGCAAAAATACAAAAAACTGAGCATTGACTTGGCCTTCTTCCGCACAAACTCGAAAAAAATTGTTACATTAATTGCTTGGAATAGATTGTGGCAACAAAAATATCAAAAGTGAAAGCAAATAAGAGTTATAAAGTTAAAAAATTTTGAAAAACAACCTGGGTCCTGGTTGGAAATCCTCTTGATGATGTTTGTGACTATGGTGTCCATGGTGGCCTCCATGATGATGATGATGATGATGCTTAGGCGTCACGTTGGGCGGAAAACCCATCTCCTCCTCAGTAAGAGGACGGCAAGTTTTGAGCAATTCCGCCGACAGTTTTCTCAGGCCTGGGGGAGATATTAGTTTTTCAGCAAAGGCCAGCATCTAAATGGATAAAGGATAATTGTCAATATAGCACAAAATGAATTCAAATAGGGAAAGCTTGTCATTAAGATAAACTCACACTGCGAGCTTTCTGATAGTAGATAGTGTCAGGAGGATTATATAACATTGCGTTCTGACACATTAAACGGAGATCATCTAAATACTGTCCAGCTGTGGAGTAGAAATTTCTAGAGGAGAGTCTTTTATACATTGTACCTAAATCCATAGGATCAGATATGAACTAAAAAAGGGGAAAGATTAGAATAAAATACAAATTCAACCGAAAAAAACGTTTAATGTTTACCGAGAAGTAATTGGGAGCAATATCTTCAGTGACAGGTTGAATAAAAATGCCTTTATGATCTCGTTTAACACACAGCCGATGGATTTCACTCAGTACAATATAGAGCGAATAACTCGTTTTATGGGGAATTTCTGTTGACGAAACTAAGTAAAATAACAATACCAATATTTTTGTAATTACTTTCTGGCTCCTCATGCTCCATTTCCTGTTTTGAAAGTGAAATTTTAAAGCGAAGAGAACCTGATGATGGTTCCATCGTTTGCCTATGTTATAAAATGCATAAACATAACTTTCAAGACAATTAAAACCTTCATCAAATTCTGAATATATTATGTATTTTTTTCCTTTATAATATGCAAATTAATGTAGTTAATAGCAATGATAAATCATATGCATATGAAGAACTAATTGATGTATGTACAAATCGTGATCACATAGGTTAAGATGTAAATTTGGCTAAATTAAAAGATTTAGTAGAATCGGGAATAGTTGATATTTTAATTAATTATAATTTTTTTTAAGAACTTATTATAAAAATTTATATAAAATATATTTACTTATTTGGTGGTCCCGCATGGGGCATTTCGCTTGGCGGGTTTGTCAATGGATTTTTGTGCTAACTCTAAAGTATTATTCTGATGGAAAATGGGATAATTTGTCTGGACGATTTCAATTCTTCCCTGAAGAAAGTTTTTGATTTGATTAATGCCTTATATCTAGAAGATATTTGGAAACTTGAAAGCAGTGATGAGTACTCTAATCTCGAGCTTATTTGTTGTCACCTCTGCACAGTCTCTAACAAATCGGCCAGACTAGAGTACCGTATAACCTACAGTGACTCCTACTCAGTTCCAATCCTCATGTTTCGCGGTTCCTTTAGAGATGGCAAGCCCGTGCCCATTTCATACTTCTGGGATTGCTTTTTAAATAGTTCACCCAACAACCTCGATCCACTCATTGTCATTAGCCAAACTGAACATCGCCAAACTGGAGTTCCATACTTTTTTGTTCACCCTTGCAAAACAAAGAATCTTATGTCGAATGTTAACCCTGCCTCCCCGGACAGCTATCTGTCCCTCTGGTTATCATTGATGGCCCGCTATTTTAACATATTCATACCAACATCAATCGCAAAAGTGTAAAGATATTTATAAGATCAATTTTTAATTATATACATTTTTAATTAGCAAATGACTCATACACCAATTATTTCCTGGGTACTTTCTTGGGTCGACGTCCCATGCCATAGTGAATTGGAGTGTCGTCGGTCAAGGAGATAATATTCAGTCCTGAAAGAGTCATTCCTGATACGGTAGACTGAAAATAAAAATCCATTTTAAAGCCATAAGTCATAAATTTAGTTGCGAAACAGAAATGGCTCTTACCAATCGATTAGCTCCAACGCCTCTCATCTTAACTCTCACGTCTTTAATTCCGAGTTTCTGGGCCTTTAAGCCAATGGAAATTCCGACCGTTTGGGCAGCTACAGTTGTTTGTTTCCGAGCGTTCTTAAAACCTTCACACCCACAACTTGTCGTGCAGAGGCTGCGACCGTTGCAATCTGTGATAGAAACTGTGGTATTATTCCGGGTTGTAGTAATATGAACAATTGGCAACTCATGGTACGCTCGGTCACCGTACATTGTCCTCAGTCCATTCTCATAAAGAATTTCATGTCCCAAACTGTAGAGTTTAAACAAATAGAAGAATCCTTACATTGTTAGTGGCCTTTTAGAAGGGATTTTTGCTTGGGTCTCAGGAACCGATGCCGAATTGAGAGCAATGGAAGTGGAAGTAGTTGAAACTGATTCCCAAGCTCGGAGAATATGGTTCGTAACGGGAAAAACTGCCTAAGAAAACAAATAGAAAGTACTAGAATAGGAAGAGGCATTCAGGGATGAAAAAATCACAGCGAATTCGAAAAATTGATATTTTCGATATTCGCTCAGATATCGCTTCAATATCATCATAATGCAAAATAATACTAGCACTAATTTCGGATGTAATTTATGACGAACTTCATTTTAAATTGATAAGTACAAGTCACCTTTAATGTGGCAACACCCTTAAAGCACGACCCAAGCATTAGGTCGAAATTTTCGGCAATACGTTGACAAATTTAAAGTACAGGCAGCCAATTATGATCTACTCTTCTGAACATTTGAAATTTAAAAGTGATATTTTTCATATATTCAAAGGCCCAATTAATCAAAAAATCCCCTATCACAATGTTCTGAATTGAACAGTTTATGATTTAAGTTTTAAAGTAATTTCAATTATTTTGTCCAGTCTCTATTTTGAGTGATGTTATTGCCATAAAACAAGTAAATCATTTTCACTCAAAGCGATAAATAAAGCAATATCCATGATGTCAGATTCTCGCACATTTTCCATTTTAATTTGTCTTGGTTAAACTATTTATATCAATGTCTGTTTCAATTAAATTAATTACGATCACTGATGTCGCCAAATCGAATTAGTTTCAAATGATTTTCTTATTTCCAATAACAGCATTTGGCCACATTAATTAAAAAAATAAGGGTGAATTTCGAAAAATTTCCTTCTGAAATTATTTTTATTTTGAATAGTAATGCACCCTTGTTAAACCGGTATATGATAAAATTATTATTTTTTCGAATTTTCTTTTATACCGATCCAAATGAACTTATCTTGTCTCGCGCGGGGTGTGGGATAGATTTACCTCCTCGTGATGCACCCTGGGCAATGTATAATCATACGGCAAAAAGTCTATTAACCGCCAGTTGACTGCTCACTTCAACCTGCCATGGCCCGACTTAAAATCATATTTGACCCTTACCACAGTACTCATCGTACCCTTTTCGAGACTTTGTGCCTGTCTGCTTCTTTTACATATGTGAATCACTCTTCTATTCCCCCTCCCGATTTCTTCTCACTTTGATATTCCTCCTCCCCTCCTTGAAGCCCGAAGTCAACTAAAGGGCTAATGATAACCATCAAATAGCCCGAAGTCAACTAAAGGGCTAATGATAACCATCAAAAGCTTGTCATTTGCTATAAATAAATAAATCTTTTCTCGGTTAAAACATGCAGGACTTCTCATATAAATTTATTAAGACTAAAAAATCAAACTGATTGGCCATGTGTTATCTTATCCATATTGATTCCTGAACGAACAAAAAATCGTTAAGTTTTAGTTATTTAATAAGATTTTTAAAGGATTTTAAGTATTCTAAATGCCTTGACATGCTATTTGCCCTTCGAAAATAAAATTTGTCGCTGTCTGTTTATTCAAAATTTAATCAGTTTTCATATATAATAAATCAGGTGATATTCCATTCTCTGATGCTCCGCTATTATCAATTCCCCGATGCTTACTAATTGGTTATAAATCTCCTTATAAGAAAGGCAATTTAAAACAAAATAATTTGCAAAATCTAAATATTTATGCGTCAAAAATGCATAAAAACTGAAATGGACATTGAAGAAATAAACTATGCTACGAAACAACTGCAATTCTCACAGGAAACCTTGGCTTGATCAAGCTCTCGGTCGCTGGTCACGGTGGGTTCCAGAAGTGTTGCAGGAATAATAACTTTGTCCGACCTAGAAGCAAATAAACCTTATTATTAAGATCTGTATCACCGATTATGAAACCTGGAACTGCCTATCTGATCCAGAAAACATAATTCAATCAAAAGAGTGGAATTTGAGGTGAACATCTGGGCTAGTCAAGTTTGATGCTGAAAGGAAATGGCCACTACTTTTTGGGATTCAAAAGGAATGATACGTATTGATGGACTTTCTAGAAGGACAGTGGGCGACCACATCTGATTATTATGAAGTCATTTTGAAGAGTTTGAAGACTTCGCCCAGCCAATAAACTGAACGGCAAACTTCACAGCCAAATTTCGCTTCACAATGACAGTACCTGCGCACATTAGTCAAGAGTTGGCAGAGCCCTGTTGGGCATATTTCGAATGGAAACACTTCCACGTCCATCTTATAGTACGGACCTAGATCCCTCAGACCGTCTTTACTTCCTAAACTGGCAGAACAACATAAAGGCATCCGATTTACGCCTATATTGTCATGGTACTACAGACAGACCCAAAAATTCTTCCCTTGAGTGAAATTACAGGTGAAAATATAGAATGAAAAAGTTCATGGGCAATTATTGAGACTGTGTATAAAAATGGATGCAATCACCTTTTAAATGAGTAAATTACGGACTTTGTCTGAGAACTTTTCTTCTCACCACCGTAGTAGAGCATTCAAGACTGAGAAATTGTCATTATTGGTGCCTTTCTTGCCATTACGGCGTTTTTCACTTAAGTATTTAACTTAATAAAATTCTGGCTCTCTCTAATAATAGTTTAATTTATCCAAACAACTTAAATCGTGTTTAAAAGATATGTACTTTTGAAGCCAATATACTTACAACTGATTAAAATTAACTTCGGGTGTTTGAACTCCATATTAGTGTAAAACGATACTAACTTCATTGCCAATATTTTAAGTTTTTTAATAGCTCTTCCATAATATTACCCGATAGTATATTCAATAAATGATAAATACAATGCAATATAACAGGAATTCTTCTCTTTATTTTAAACGAAGAAAGCAAATATGCTCGAGGCTATGTTTTTATTTTGCTTTTACATTGGGAGTCTTTGAAAAAAACTCCAAAGATATGCCTTGTGGCTATTAGTCAACGTTATTTCCATAAGTGATAAAATCCTTTGTCATAATTAAAGGCTTATGCCGCCCTGTTATTAAAAAAATATGATTGCCAATCTAAATTTTTTTCAAATTTCGGTTAGAGTGCACTGTCGGTTTGGCATACGTCACTCCAGCTGCACTTGTAGAATAAGCACTTCTTTCTACTTATTTCAGTGTTGTCAGCGCGTTGCACTACATAATTAAATTATCCAAATCTTGTAAAACTCCTATAAAATGTGTAATGCTGAGAAGTCAAAATACTTGAGGGAAGTATATTTAGTAAAAGACTAAAGTATGTTTAAAGTGGGCATGTGTTAAGAGTACCAATTCAGGAGATAATAGCTGGTAGGTGTCTGATTTTACCCCTCTTCTAGTCCTGAGGTGAACCCCCCCCCCCCCCTACTTTCTATCAATTCTCACATGAAGAGGATTTTGGCAGAATTTTTCGAATAGTTAGAGAGAGCAGAATTACAAAGACGAGGTGAAGGTAGAGCAGAAATAGAAGTTCCATCTCCATCTTAGTGAGTACGTGGTCTCAATTGTAAGGTCATTTTCAAGGTTAAATAAGTGGGCACCTTACTAAGCTATTAGTGTCGTGTGGTAAGTAATGCAAAGCTTTAATGTATGCTATTCGTGTTCAGGCCCACATTTATGAAGTGAGTGCATTATTCACAAGAATTAAAGAGCTTTATTCGATTAGAGAATGAGAGAACTTTTTTCGATTTACCCAGTAGAGCAATATCATTCAAATACTCTATTAAAAATTTCCTCGTGCTGAAGGCCAAAGCTATTACGCTATTATCCGAGTAATCAATAGTCAAAACCAATACATGATTACCATACCTTAGACAGAGACCTCTCAACCAATCAATGACCAAAGCCAGGAAGGCCAACCCACTGTCAAGGCCAGTACGTGATTATTCGACCAATCGATGGCCCAAGTCATTATTTGATTATCAAGGTAGAAAGTGTACATTATGCCCTAGTTCTCCGTCTGTAATTGGACAATCCCAAATAAATGTGTTCCACGGCATAAATCTATTTCCTCTATAGCTTTTAGGAAGCTTAGCTAATTTCGGAAACCCTTCTAAACATAGGAGAATTTGCCATAGAGGATTCTGAGAACAGCTACAAGTATCGACTCCATCAAAATTAATCACTAAAATAATTAAACAAACAATCCACTTTAATGTATGAAATTTGGGACTCGACCTCCAAACGTCTATTGAAATTGAGTCATGCAGTGCTTTCAGTGATACTCACGAAAACAAAAAGAACTATTTGATAAAAATAAAGAGGTGTAAATCGAAAGTTATCCCCCCCCCCTAAGTTATGATAAAAAAGCATCATATCAACCAAGAAATATTGACTGAATGGAAACCAATCTCTATACCAGCACAACTAAATTGAAATCAAGTTCAAAAGACGCTTGAACTGTCAGATGTTGAAATACCCCTTATTTTTGACTAACAGAAACACTCCCAACTCTCGTAGGATGGACAAACAGAATTTCCATTTTACTCTCACTACCCGAAGAGAAAGGTAACGTCAAAGTGTCTAGTGACAGAGCTTATTTTCTTTTCCAAGAAATGATCAATTTTAATGATGGTGATGTGGGGTGTGCGATAGACTTACCTCCATGTGGTGCACCCTGGGGAACATATTCTCATACGGCAAAAAGTCTATTAACCGGCAGTTGACTTCTCTCTTCAAACTGCCATGGCCCGACTGAAAATTGTATTCGACCCCTACCACAGTACTCATCTAACCTTTTCTGAGCTTTTGTCCCTGTCCGTCTCTTTTACATCTATGAATCACTCTTCTGTCCTCTCCTTCCATCGATTTTCTCTGACTTTGAAGCTTCTCCCCTCTGTGAGGAACGAAGTCAACTAAGGGGCTAATTATATCTATCAAAACGTCTGTATTTGAAATAAATAAATGATAAATAAATAGGAACCTGTTCCAAGGGAAAACAGGGGTCTGCTAAAAAACGTTTTTATGCATAAACATTAAATTGAATAATTTGCCATTTAGATTGTAGGGGAATGGAGACGGTGTGATGGGACAAATGAAGTGGCCAGTCAAAACGACGCTACTATACGTGTGTGTGTGTGTGTGCATGCAAAAATTTTATAAAATCACGGCCATTCCTACCATTCCCTGAGAAAAAAGTAGGCTTATTGATGACAACCCATTCTTCACAATAAGATAATAAAAATGTCTTTCATTCAGATGCTTTAATTTATCTACTTCTAATTTTGTTCTAATTGCGTGTGGGACACGTCATCGCATGAGCGTACACATAGGCTTGAGGTGCGGCCGTACAACTTCGCGTACTGATTGAGGACAAGAGCACGCAGCCAATAGAGCTCAATGACCCTCACTTGTTTTACCAAATCCGCCATGTTGTATGACTGAGTTTCCTTCCTGTATGCACTTCTTGCGTGGTTTATCTAGTGAATAAACGTATTCTCGCAATACGTCTGTTTCTTGCGCGTTACCACATTAGAGGTTTCTGAGTTCAGTCAAGGCGATAATAAAGTAGTATTCCGCTACATGCGAGTATTGCCTTTGGACAATTGTGGCAAGCAGGACATTTGAAATTCTTAAATTAATTGGCATCGAAGTAAATTTTCATTCATAACATTATGGAAGACAAATAAATACGTAAAACCAAAGAGAATGTAATTCGAATGAGTCACCCGCAATTGGCCAATGGGGTTGAAAGTGACACTATGTGTTAGTTGATTCAATGCTGTTTTCTTTTTACTATCAAACGAGATTTCATAAATTTGACGCAAATAACTTGATTATGAGATTCAAAGTTTATAAAAGCACTGTCAGAGTAAAAATATCACTATTTATTATTTAATGTTTCCTCGATTTTCTACAGCACTTAAAATGCTGACTGATTCATTTTCTCATGAGGATTAGCATGAATATCTCCATAATGTTTATGCTGCGAATTGAATTGTAAAATTGAACAACGAGAAAGTGAGCCTTTCCTTCTTCTGTGGACTATGAAGACGATTAAATTACCGCAATTAAATTAGCGATAGAGCGATATCTTAAAAGCATCTCAGTGTTTAAAAAGGGAACGATATTATTTTACTTAGTTTAATTAAATCTATTTTAATTAATAAAAGCAAATGTAGAATTTGCAATAATAATTAATAATGTTATTTAAAATTGCTCAGCTTGCGCTTAAAAAATTACATTTCATAAACCGTTTATGGCTTCCGTTAAAGCAGTAAGAATATTTCATATTCAGAGTTATTATTTCCATATCACAAATCATTATATTCGATAAAAGGGGTGTGCAATAGACTTACCTCCACGTGGTGCACACTGGGCAACGTATACTCATTCGGCAAAAAGGTCTATTAACCGGTAGCTGACTTCTGACTTCAAACTAAGATAACCCCACTGTAGGCCATTTCGACCACTTCCACAGTACTCCTCTTACCTTTTCCTGCCTTTGTGTCCCTCTGTCTCTTAACATCTGTGAATCACTCTTCTACTTCCCCTCTCCACTTTTTCTCACTTTGATGTTTCCCCTCCACTCTGTGAAGTCCGAAGTCAGCAAACGGGATAATGATAACTCTCAAAACGCCTGCCATTTGAAATAAATAAATATTCGATAAAATTTCCAAAATTGATAAAATGGCTATGAAATTACTTATGGCATCTCGTTTTTTCAGCTAATTTGAAGCCAAGAAGCTCAGTGTCTATGAGCTTTCCAAGGCCACCTCCCACCTTATCATTATGTACTTATATTTAAAGTACCTCAAAGTCATACACCTTATATCTCCCTTTATCGATATTATTATCAACAGACTCCACTAGACTCCACCATCAATTATGGCATAGTCAAAGTCATTGCGTCTCGAGATGCCATCTGTGACACATCAAAGATAGAATTTCTGAATTCACAGAGATGATCACTGATCGATGTGAAACTGGCGCATGGAAACTGCACTTCATTCCCAATCACCAATTCCTTCTCTTCGAACACCCAAAATCATAGACGGAAACAGCAACGAAGGATCAAAAGATGAAAATGTGTATCATAATCAAGTGAATAACATTGTAAAACAGGGGAGGGACTCCTTTACCAAACACAACTAGAAGACAAATGGTACAAATGAATGAAGACATGAATTATCTCATGAGAATACCGTCACGTCCCTGTTGAGTGGAGTGGGATGGGGTGGGGTGTGGTGGAGTGGGGTGGTTGTATCAAGGTGCCAGACTGAATGCTATGCGAAGAAGGCCCAGAAGAAGATGGTGATGAGAAGTGCAATTGAAGCAGCCACGTTGACAACGATTCTCTGCTTCGGATCCTCTTCAATGCTCATCTCCTTGGCCTTCAACTCGACCAACTCCTCTGCCTCTTCCTCAGTGAATACAGGTTCACGCTCATCCTGCATGCCTTCCACACCACACATCCAATTAAGAGCTTTCTTCCAACATGGTAAAACAGGTTTTTCAGCCTCTCCTTCTGCAATCCATTCTTCCTTTTCCTCTTGACTAACAATCGTCATTTTCGGAGCATCCAACAATGGGTCAAAAACAACATGACGATCTGAGAAGATTAAGCGACGAGTCTGAAGTAGGAAAACGACAATTGTGAGTGACAAAAAATGAGGTTGGGGAACGGAGTATGAACAAAAAATTGGGCACTTACATATGAAGGTGGAAGTGGAGCTGTTACTAAAGAGGCAACCACGATGACGACACTTGACATTCCAAAAAGAAGAATGGAGAAGTGTAGGTAGTGCATCGTGACCAAGAAGTGTGGGGGGTTAGTACTCTCTTCACCACAGGGCGATGCACCATAGGAAATCTCCCATATGAATCGAGTCACGCCAATTATGAGACCAATAATCAAAGACGCGAAGGCTCCCTACAAATGAGAGTCAGACTGGGAATTAATGAATCCCA